GTATTGCATTTTTCAACGAGTTATGAACGCTTAACAATCAACATTACTGAACGAAAGCTATTAATGTTAATGTTTGTGTTCCGAATTGAGTCTGAACGAATGTTTGCCCTATTAGCATTAATAGTCGGCTTCTACTACAAGCATGGGTTACTGAAGATCAGTTGTAACCCGGATCTTCACGGGTCAACCAACAAACAAACAAACACAAGGTTATATTCACCAAATTGCTGAAATACTTCCGATATGACTGAAAATCTTCACCCACTCACTGCTAATTGTATAAGTACTATACTGTCACTCGATGGCAGTTTTTAATGTTGAGTAACAGCTTGTTCAAATGCAGCTTGGCTGAAATAGTGCAGACATTACTTTCAATTTTATCTCACTTTCTCACCCCAACTCAGTCATTTACAGAAAGCCATTTCTTAGCTGGGGTGCTGCCGAGAGAGAGTGAGTGAGTTTAGTTTTACACCGCACTCAGCAATATTCCAGCTATATGGTGGCGGTCTGTAAATAATCGAGTCAGTACCAGACATTCCAGTGATCAATAGCATGAGCATTGATCTATGCAACTGAGATACTATGACATGTGTCAACCAAGTCAGCGAGTCTGACCACCCGATCCCGTTAGTCACCTCTTACGACAAGCATGGGTTACTGAAGATCAATTCTTACCCGGATCTTCGGGGTCCTGCCGAGAGTAGTGTTGACAAAGAACAAGTATTTTTTTTATTAATTACAAATTTAAGTGGACTGATGCTTGAAATATAACGACAGAATCAAATAACTGACTGAAAAAAATATTTCCAAAAGTAAAAAAATAGAAAATATATGTTTGAAATTTAATGTCCTGTCTTTGGGGGCATGTCTACAAACCGTATTTAATTTCTGCAACAATACTTTCCAATATTAAGATGGTGAATATTTATCGTATTTTCTAACCAGTTATGTACATTTTACAATGTACATAACCGAACGAAAGCTGTTAATTTTGTTTATTTTTCACATTTAGTCGGAACGAATGGTTGCCAAGAATTAAAAGAAAGTTTTCGCAGCTATTTCAACATATAAAGAAGATTGGTCGATGATATCCCTAACGACAAGCACAAGACTACAATCAAGCGGAATCTGTTTCTGAAGTTAGTGATTGAGTGAGTATAATTTTACGCCGCTTTTCAACTGGTATAATGCAGTTTGGAAATTCTAAATGGGTATTGGCAGAAGAGTGAGTGACGCTTTACGCCGCTTTTAGCCATATTCCAACAATATCACGCCGGGTGACACCAGAAATGGGCTTCACACGTTGCACTCATATGGGAATCGAACCCGGGCCTTCGGCGTGACGAGCGGACGCGTTAACCATTAGGCTACCCCACCGCCCCCTGAAGTTAGTAAGGGCCTATTCGATTATGCTAAACCGGTTTTGGTTTCGGGAAAACCATGCACTCGATTATGTCGAAACCTAAAACTGGGTTCTGAAACTTCGAAACCATCTCCGAGGCAGGTTTTGCAGTTTCAGTTTCGCGTTCTCTCACGACAAACATGGCGGAAACGAAAGCGCCAAGTTCAGCTGATCTTGGTGGCAAAATAGAGCAGCAGTATTTGGGACCAAAATAATGATAAAAATCAACTGAGAACTAGGAAAATATTATTTAAAACCCCAGTCTATTGAACATGACTATTTTATGTATACTTGTATAGATATAATTACTTGTAACAGTATAATTACATATACGCAAATATTTACCTCCAAAAGCATCTCATCTCTTTATTATTTGTTAATTCACTGATAAAATGAAAAACATATGCTGTCATCCAATTCGTTCCATATATACAGTAGCTGGGACATTTTTTTGTATCCATTTTGAAACCGGATGGTGAAACCATCCACTCGTTTATAAAACTAGAAACTAGTTCCACTTTAGTTTGAAACCATGTATCCGAAACTAGACACTCGTTTATAACAGGAGAAACCAGTTTCAAAAACCAAAACCAGTTTCGCAATAATCGAACAGGCCCTATGAATGGGTATTCTTGTTCACCTACGTGAATGTATACTCTCCCAAAAAAGAAACGCATATAGGAATTTCAACTGTATTCTTATGTTTATTTTGAAACATCTTGTAGGCTTTATGAGTCAATGAAATATAGCAGAATTGCACACTGGGAATGCAGACTTATCCGTCTTTGGCACCAACTCGAGGAAAGTCAGTTTGAGTGTCACATGGAGTCGTGTGGTGGCGCTGAAGTCAATATCTCGTGTGACCACCGTGGGCATCCAGAACTGCACGGCATCGCCTCGGCATCGAACGAATAAGTCTCAGAATCTGGTGTTGCCCAATCGCAGCCCACTCTGCCTGTAGTGCCTGTGCGAGTTGCTGAAGTGTCTGGGGCTAAGGGTTACGGCGTTGCACCCGTCTGTCCAGGGCATCCCAAAGATGTTCAATCGGGTTTAAGTCCGGTGATCTTGAGGGCCAGGGGAGCACATTGATGTTGTGGTTCTGGAGGAAGTCTCTGGTGTGACGTGCTGTGTGGGGCCTGGTATTGTCCTGTTGAAACAATTCCCTCTGCCGATCAATGATTGGAAGGAGGTGTGGGCGTAGGATTTCGTCACAGTACCGTTGAGCTGTCAGGTTGCGCTGGATCATCACCAAATCACTTCTCCTACGGCAGGTGATCGCTCCCCACATCATAACACTGCCCCGGCCGAGTCTGTCCACCTGGGGAACGCAAGCGTCGGCGAAACGTTCACGTCGACGTCTGTACACCCGCATTCTTCCATCGCGTCGTTCCAATAGAAATCGGGATTCATCACTGAACCAGATTCTACGCCAATTCGGTAGGTTCATGGCCTGAACGTTGGTGCACCATTCAACTCGATGTCGACGATGTTGTTGTCGAAGCACAGGGCCAAAATAAGATCTTCTGGCACGTAAACCAGCTTCTCTCAACCTGTTCCTGACGGTCTCTGCAGAAAGCCTCCTCACTCCGGGTATTTGTCGAGTGGTACTGGTCGCCGTAGCTGTTCGATGACGCAGGTGATGTACCCGGATATACATCTGCCGGCGACATCTCTCCCAGAGCCGTGAAATGGTGCTTTGGTGAACATTCATGCGTCGGGCAACTGGACGTTGAGACTGACCAGCTTCAAGCAAACCAATGGCGATATGACGGTTGGCTTCACTTAGACGTGGCATTTTGTGTTCGTCAACAATATTCCAAATACAGTAAATAATCGACAGACAGCGATCAACCTTTTATACCCATCATTGAGACTATCTGATCCCCAACTTTCACGTGCATTGCATGTGAATTGTGTATTCTGTGACACTACACGCCGGAATTGAAAATCATGCTGTTAGATACGGGTATTTTACGGATGGTGCGTTTTGTTGTGATGTTTCAAAACATAAACACCATAGGACTCATAAACAGAGCAAAACCTTTTGTAAAATGAATCACGTTTTAATTCATTGCTACATGAAATTGCTATTTTCATGATGCGTTTCTTTTTGGGGAGAGTATATTATGAATCTATAACTTGTTTTAGTCACGATATGGCTGAAATACTGCCGATGTCACTCAAAATCTTAACTCACTCACCCCATTGTACTCACTATGTAGATTTTTGTGGGTCGGTTTGGTAGCCTAGTGCTTAAAGCGTTCGCTCGTCACGTCGAAGACCCGGGTTCGATTCCACGCATGGGTACAATGTGTTAAACCCATTTCTGGTGTCGCCCGCAGTGATGTTGCTGGAATATTGCTAAAAGCGGCGCAAAACTCAACTCGCTCACTCACTCACTATATATGTAGTGTCAAGAACTTTGACACCAGGTGTCTCGAACAATACTGACTGACTGACTGACTGAGTTTAGTTTTACGCCGCTTTTCTCGAACAATACACTCTACAAATGTCATACAGTCATACATGATAGGGTTACGGATTCAAGTTTCCTGCTGTTTACACAGATATAATTACTTGTCACTCAGGGGTCTACTCCCATTTGTGAGAACTCCCAGTTGTGAGACTCCCAGTTATGAGACAGTGGAGTAGGTAATTAACAAAGAAAACACACCATACTCCCCTGTCTGACAGAATGGATTCACCCTAGCTAATAACTGATTTGCTATGTAACTGAATCTTGTGGAGGTAACTTAATGAAACTTTATAAGATAAATTGATGAACATACTCAGGTAAATGTCTTTAATAATTAAACACTTTGTGTAGGTAACTTCGTGATCAAAGAGAAATTAATTTACCTACTCAGATTTACTCCGTCTCCGACGGTACAAGCTATAGTTTAAGAAATAACTCTGAAATAATTCTGAAATTTACAGTCGAAACGCCCCTTATGCCAAACCCTTTCTACCCGACACAATAAATTTATGGAATGCCCTACCAAATTCCAAAGAGTCATGCAGTCTCAAAGAATTTTAAAACCTAATTACAAAAACCGAAAACAAGATGTATATTGATCTTAATTATGGCTCTTGATTTTGTCAAATCGTTCATTGCTGCCTCAGGCTCGGTTCTAGCGACCCAAACGCCGATATATTTTTGCAATAGTCAATATCGATGACGTCACATCCTCCATTTCATTTCATATTTTATGTTGCATGGGATCGGTGTTAACATAAGCAGTAATACTTCACCAATCCCAATTCGTTTTCATAAATAATAATAACATATGTTTAAACCAAAATGACTTTCAAACTTCATAATAGTCAATAAAAATGTGTTATCATAATTACATATTCTTCTGAATAATTCAAATATTCAATGAACTATTTCTTCTGTTTAAATATAATCTTTGATAATCTATTTCATTAGTCAACTCATCAATGACTCCTGTGGGTACTGGGCTGGGCTGATCCCACTTTCATTGTACGGATGTGGAAACACCACCTATGTGCACTGAACCATTAATTAATGTGTCTCACAACTGGGAGTTCTCACAAATGGGAGGACACCCACTCAGGTAGTGATATAGATCCGTGACAAACAGGATCCGGATCTACCTGGTGACGAACGTTCTCACCTGTATACTACTATCTATTTACACACCTGCCGCCAAGTGGAGGACGTTTCATTTCACACAAGATCGCAGTGTACCCTGGACGCATTTAAGGTATGTTGTGGTTTAGTGATGACAATTACTGATATTAATGATTAACGGAAGATATAATCTGAAATGTATTGTTTATATCACTGAAAACGTCATTCAAATACAGTTATAACATGTTCCACCTTTTGGACAAGTTCTGAATGGCGATGATACGACTACTATTTGTTTCGTTTGTTGTTTGAGTGCGTCAGTATAGTTTTACGCCGCTTTTAGCAATATTCCAGCAATATCACGGCGGGGGACACCAGAAATGGGCTTCACACAATGTGCCCATGAGGGGATTCGAACCCGGGTCCTCGGCGTGACGAGCCAACGCTTTAACCACTAGGCTACCCCACCGCCCCGTTTGTTGTTTGAGGTTTCATCAGACATTTGAACATGTCCGAAAATAAAGATGTTCAAAATATTTGATTCAAAGCTCTAGGGCGTCAACACTGACGCATTTAACCACTTATTGTTAGTTTGCAATATAGAATTGATAAGATGAGCTGATTTTATTGAGCGCAGGGACCCCTTGAGTTGCTACTTTTACAATAGCCTGATTAAAAATGTGGGCGCTTGGTCATGTTGGTACTTTTATTTTAGGCAAAGAAATATATTCTGAAGGGCCTCATCTGAAGAGAAGAACATGTTTGCATAGTGCCATTGCTTTGTAACAACCATTCTTGAACTCGAAACCTTGTTAATCCGGACGATGTCATTAGTAAAGCTAGCGTCCGTATTATCGAGGTTTCACTGTGTAAAATACTACATAGTTTTAGGATATCTCTTGTTATCAGCAAGGCATATCTGACGTTCCATGCCAAACATGTGACAACCCCATATATTGTGTGTTTGTTTCGTTGCACTTATTTGTGGCCCGTTCATTTTTCAAGTATTGTCGGCAGTATTTTTCACATTTCCCAGCTAGGAATGGCTCAGTCTGCTACAATGAACACTGAAAAATATGATAAAACTGAATTGATTTTCACAGAAAACACTAAAATGATAGTTGTTTTAATTTTTAGAAAAATTCGAACATAAAACATGACATGTCGTTGTTAGCTTGCGTTGACGCCAGCATGGCAACAAGCGATTTTTAAGCTTGGATCACACACATTACAGTGTGCTAACAGGCAGCTGAGGAAGGTTTGTCTCTTTTTAGAGACACATATTGGATTTTACATGTAATTTCCTGAACATTCTTTCTGCCCAGTGCGTTTACAGGACAGTAATTGAAATGTGTAACGCTATATTTAACATATCAGGAAAAATGTGAAACAGAGTATCGATGGTTTTATTCTCCTAGTAGAATAATCAGGCTTTTGAATTTGAAAAGGAATAATTTCGTAAAAATGTTTTAAAATGAAAATAATCAGGTGGAATCAGTTTGGTTTTATTTTTTCGGAGTTGTTAAGCAAGATGGCACTTCAGTACGATTTTTTTTTATTGGAAAATGTTAAATCAAACAGATTGTTCCCAAATAACCTCTTGCGAAGATCACGTGGATTACTTTTGGAAAACTATATCAAACCACGGATCAATTACCATCAACCGGGATTGAACAAACATTTTTTTTAATCCTTAAATTCCATGTCTTGAAACTTGTCTCATTTTTTTTCTCCGATACCGAACTTTTAAAGTGCTATTATGTTAACCATTTCATTGACAAGACCGCCATCCCTCGCCAAATAACCTTTACAACAAGTCAGCTCAGCGAGCGTGTGACAGAACTTTTGTGTGGATGACCATTCATAGATGATGACATTATCCATAGACGAGCAAACATCTAATATGGTTGGTTGTAGTGATTTGATTTCAATTTGTGATCAACCTTTTTTATGTTTAGGAGCTCAATAAATATTTTCACCATCGTAAACAGTACCTCAATAAATATTTACACTTAAATAAAAATTACGAACTAGATTATTTGGAAACTTGAATGCATATGTTGGGTTTTTTCTAAATAAATATAAGCAATAAAACCCTTTCCACGTTGATAAGAAATCGCTGCTTAAAGGAGAGTCGAATATACGATTCCGACTATAAAATAGTGAGTGAGTTAGGATTTTGAGTCACATCGGCAGTATTTCAGCCATATCGTGACTAAAACAAGTTATACATCCATGACACATAAAGACCTATGGACAAAGGACAGTAAAACAACTGGAATATGTCAATCGAAAACTGTGGACAATACATGTACACTATCCCCCAAAAAAAAAAAAACGCATAACCCAGAAATCTGTTGCGAAAATGTTGTATTTTCAAACATGTATAACTTGTCCACAAAAAGAGCTTAGTACATGAAATTTTACATCAGTTTAGATGACGGAAATGTCTATACAACCAAGTAGATAATATTAGTTAAGGGAGACGTTGAGCGCGATGGCGACGACGTAGCACGGTCCCGACGTCGGTCTCCTGGCTCTCAGTCCAATCTCTCTCAACCTGTTCCGTACAGTTTGACCGGATATCCTCCGAAGTCCAGGCACCCTGGCTGCTGTGCTCTCATCCGTGGCAGTACGATCACGCGAATGTAGTACCCGGATGTACCGACCTTGGGCTGCAGTGGTGACTCGAGGTCTACCTGTACGGGGACGGTCATTTGTTATACCAGTTTGGTTGTAACGAGCTGCAAGCCGTGATATCGTGCTCAGACTTACATTCAGACGCCTGGCAACAGAAGATTGATAATCTCCAGCTTGCATTCTTTCAATGGCAATGTTCCGTGTCGCAGCGTCAAGACGTGGTGTAGTGATTTGACCTTGAAACGAAAGTAATCTGGATTTTTATAGCCAGACAGTGTATGCTCTTTGCTGCACAATTTCAACTGGAAGGTGCTTTCTGTTGCGTTGTGGCGATGCCTTTTCAATCCTTGTAAGACATCTAATCAAAATCAACATTTTCAGGTCAAGCCGATGTTTTACTTGTACAGTTGTGTAAAATCATGTTATCAACACTTTTGATACATATTTTGACGATTGTTTGAACACAATAGGTAATCAATAGTTTTTTTAAAAATACAAAATGTCTATGCGTTCTTTTTTGGGACAGTACTGGCTACAGATCGCCAACAACTGAACGTAGATCACCATACTTAAGACTATGGGGACTTAAGGGACCTTTGTTTCAATATGAAAAAAATTAAATTCCTGCATGCCTAGCTGGATTTACACCATCATTTCAGCCGTTAGCGATTGTGTTATTGATCATTTTACAGAACATATTTATCAAAACTCGTGTACCAGCTGTTCACGACAAAGTGTTGAAATGCTTCAAACTAGTGAAGAATAAATTATTCACATGATCGGGGTCAATGACCTGGCTGAAGCCGTTGTAGATGTTGCACAAATGTCAAGACAGACAGGAATGGTTTAAAAAATATGAATGGGATGATATATTTAACTCATTACTAAAGTGCAGGTGAAGGTTTATTCTAGGTACATATAAATAAAACCACAACCCCGAAGCCTATTTTAGGTTTCTGGGACACTGTAAAACGTATTTATTTCATTTCTTCTTGTACCTAACTGCACAATGAAAAAGGTATTTAAAAATAGTGTTTGTGTATGCATGTGATTAACAATAGATGAGGTGTACGGTTCTGACGACATCAAAACATTTAAAAATGACACATTGTTATCAAGGGAATAAAAACATACCAGCTTCAGAAATCAAATGTGAGGACTTAAAAGACAAAAGAGTATATATTTGTTTCAGCAGTATTACAGCTGTACGATGTTGTTTGTAAACAAATCGAGTCTGGAACTTCATCTTCCTTAAACGCACAAAATGGATACATTCGTAACCACTCGCCTCTTTCCGTGACCTACATCCGGCTTGCCGGAATGACACGAGTAGTTACAAATGAAAATGGATAGGGATTGGCGGAGGGGTGTTGTTGTAACAGCTTGTTCCAGGAGGTGGTGGTTGTAACAGCCTGTTTCTGTTTACAGATGTAATGTCCCGCAGCGTATATGAAATAGTAAAGCTGTCACAGCAGTAAATGATGCTCTCGATCACAGCAACACGCACTAAAATCCCTGATATTGATTGAGGCAGATACAAAGTATTGTGTTAATTTGTGTGGGCAAACAAACTTGGATAAACAAACCACTAACAAGCTACGTGATATCAAACATACAATAACTATAACCATATCAGTACCAAATGTCGTAGTGATGATGATGATGATGATGATGATGATGATGATGATGATGATGATGATGATGATGTTTTAAGGCTTTTAAATTGTGCGGATACATCTTATTAGAAAATGTACAGCCTTTGGCAAACTGCGATTTTCTTCTTGGGGCGGTGGGGTAACCTAGAAGTTAAAGCGTTCGCTCATCGTTATTTAAAACATTGTGAGAAATATGTTTTGTATATTGCTAAATGTTATTTTATAATTTGTATATTGAATTAGCAACTGAGCCTAGATTGTTAGTGTCTGTATCCTTTAGTGGGTTAAGTATTGTAAAATTATGTTTTTCCTGAAGGTTTCTGTAAGACCACATCCTTCAAAGAAACTTTGAATCGTTTCTTAATCGTAGAATGTGTGTTATTTTTATTCAACGCCGGGTGTTGCTTATAATCATGTTTACCCAAGTCCCACGGTCTCTTGTATAGTGGTATGGGGCGGTGGGGTAGCCTAGCTCGTCACGCCCAAGACCCGGGTTCGATTCCCCACATGGATACACCGTGTGAAGTCCATTTCTGGTGTTCCCCGTCGTGATATTTATGCAATATTGCTAAAACCGGCGTAAAACCCAACTCACTGACTCACTGCATGGTGATATACCAACATTTGCTGCCGATCGATAACCCTGTGTTAATTGTGTGGTTGTCTTCAATAGTAAAATACTGTTAGGGTTACAAGCACGATTTGCATCTATATATGTGATACTCTAGTTGCTTTTACTGTCCTTTGTCGACGGGTATATATATACACCCGCCCTAGAAACGTATAAAGTTATACGAAGGAAGTCAGTCAACCAATTACCATGTGCAACCAACATAACATTATCTCTTTGCATTATTTATTCACCTTGGCTGGATTTGGGGACCACTTTTTGTGTCAAGTAGAGGTGCAGTGTAATTTATTATTTTGATATTTTAAGAATTACAGCAATTTAGGAATTTGAACTTAAGGACAGTTTGTTCAGCGAATAACTTGAAAAGTATCAGTCAAAATGTTTTCATATTTGGAGAATTGTCTGAAAGGGTGTGCAGCGCAAAGTATGGTCCCTGTTTTCTAGTTTTTGAAATAGTTGCGTCAATTTACATATTTTAAACTTGAAAAAACCCATGGAAATATTTGTTCAACCAATAACTTGAACACATTTAAATGGATTGTTTTTACATTTGGTGATCACCCTACATATCTATAAGGTGCTGTGGAAAGGTATATATTGATCTGTTTAATTTATCGAGAATTACCACAAATTATATCTCTTGAACTCGGGAAAAAGTCACACATCAAAGTTTTCAACCAATGAAAATATTGCCGCATCAGTGACAAAAATGATGTCCTATGCAATTCCTTATTTTGACTTGTATCACACATTCACGAATTATTTCAGGTGAACAATTGACTAGACTTTGTGACGGTTAAGATGCCATTCGTAACTACTCGCCCCTTTCCGTGACCCACAAGAAGACTCGTACCCCTATCGTACGCCATTATTGCCAAAAATCGTGGCAAACCAATCAAATCGCGCGTAGTAAAACGCATTTCGAAGCATGAAAATGGCGGCACCGTTGAACTTTGAAACATCGCTAAACTATGCAAAGCACAATTTAAACATAAACTTTGACCTAAAGGATCAGCAACTTTAAACACTGAAACATATTTACAAAGGGAATGACTGTTTTGCTGTTTTGCCCACGGGATATAGGATATTCTATAAGCCATGTTTGGATATTCAGAGTTATCTTTCCTTGGTAATAGTACTATACTATTTTCATCTCCATGCCCGTTTGTGCTTAGTCAGCGCCCAGTCGTAAACATGGCCAAGAGAGGAGTACAATATGCCATCCTGCTTGCCGGAATGACACGAGTAGTTACGAATGGCAAGATACCTGGTATCATCACTTGTGATAGTGATTCATAAACACATGTCTGTTATCGTATCGCGTGGCGACAATAGCTGGATTTTTCTGGTCCAGACTCTATTTGTTTACAAACAACATCGTACAAGATATAGTCAGAAATGCTTTCTTATGAATGTGGAAAGGGTTTTCCAAAGTGAGTGAGTTTAGTTTTACGCCGCACTCAGCAATATTCCAGCTATATGGCGGCGGTCTGTAATTAATCGAGTCTGGACCAGACAATCCAGTGATCAACAGCATGAGCATCGATCTGCGCAATTTGGAACCGATGACATGTGTCAACCAAGTCAGCGAGCCTGACCACCCGATCCCGTTAGACGCCTCTTACGACAAGCATAGTCGCCTTTTGTGGCAAGCATGGGTTGCTGAAGACCTATTCTACCCCGGATCTTCACGGGTGGGTTTTCCAAAGGGTTTGATCGAAGTGTGTATTGTGCGTACACAAACATTTGGTTTACTTTGCATTGTGCGCTTTGAGCATCCTTATGTTTGGAAATAGCACTATATAAATGCACTATTATTATTATTATTATTATTGTGGGTTCCTGCATGTCATTACTAACGCGAGTCTCTATGTGTTTGGCAGATGAAGATTACGTATCTGCTTCTCGTTGTCGGCCTGGTGTTAGTTTTGACCGACCGCTCCAGTTCTTTCATATGGAGACGAAACCGGCGGATATTCAACCCCTGTCGTATCATTGCCTGTACCCATCACAAGACAAGGGAGGTAGATCGTGACGACACCGTCGACGGCGACGTGAACAGCGTTAAAGACGATGTTTCCCGGGACTTACCTCGATTGCCTGAAGCTGGTTAGTATATAAGGTTAGAGTGAGTGAGTTCACTTTTACGCCGCTTTTAGCAATATCACGGCGGGGGACACCAGAAATGGGCTTCACACATTGTACCCATGTGGGGAATCGAACCCGGGTCTTCGGCGTGACGAGCCAACGCTTTAACCACTAGGCTACCCCACCGCCCATATGTTAGAATGTAAGGATCTTAACTTAGGTCTAGTTCTTCTCTCCATACCACTTTAAATACAGTGATCTCAAAGGAGGTTTACCGCTTCACTGCGGACTCCTTAGATTCGGATGGCCTTAAAGGAGGTCTAGCTCTTCTCTCTGTACCACTCAGAATACAATGATCTAAGGTAGGCTTAACTCTTTTCTCCTGCCTACTTGGTATAGGATGATATTAAAAGTCTATCTCTTCTCTCTTTACCGCTAAGAATATATATAGTGATCTCAAATGAGGTTTACATCATCTGGGGAGGTGGGGTAGTCTAATGATTAAAGCGTTGGCTCGTCACGCCGAAGACCCAGGTTCAATTCCCTACATGGGCACAATGTGTGAAGCCCATTTCTGGTGTCCCCTGCCGCGATGTTGCTGGAATATTGCTAAAAGCGGCGTAAAACCAAACTCAGTCAGTCAGTCAGTCAGTTTACATCTTCTCTCCGGGCTACTCAGAATCGGATGGTCTTAAAGGAGGTCTTGCCCTTCTCTCCGTACCACTTTAATACAGTGATCGATCTCAAAGGAGGTTTAAGTTTTCGTTGTGGACTACTTAGAATAGGATGGTCTTAGAGGAGGTCGAACTCTTCTCGCCGTAATCGTTTTTATTGAAACAACAAACAAGTGTACTTTTCGGTAGATATGAGTAAATGATGCATCGCAAACCGGGTTAGAGACTTCTAGAAAGAATGGTTTAAACAATTACCATATAAAATTAGTATGCAAAGATATGCAAAAGCAGTTTGGTTGGCTATATCGAAAAATAGATTGCAAGGCACAGTATGTATTGCAGTCTTTTAATAATATTCTATGTTGATCACTGATGATCTGGTCCAGACTCGATTATCTACAACCCGCCGCCATATTGCTGGATTATATAGCGTTAAATAACAACCTAATACATTTTTTCTCTTCATCGATAAATGACTTTTCTTCGCTGGAAAGTATCCATTCAATTATCTGTATATTATAAAGATCACTTCAGCGGCTTGTAAAACCTCTCTCATCTTTAGATATTTAACGTATGCTGATCCGTAAAATTTGCAAAGAAAAATGTAACTCTATGTCCATATTTGGCATCATTTGGTAAGAATTTTACTCTTAACTGTATGAATATATATTACGTTTCAGATCAGTTGGTATGACCGGTGGAATCACAGGACCACATTAATCCTGATTCAGAAGGATGACATTCAGGATGTCTCTAAAAAATAACATTACAGCACACCCAAAAGAATGGCATATATGGCATTTGCGTTTGACATTTAATTTGTTAAAATCCCTGATTACAATATATAACTCCTGAATATAACTTGTCTTATGATCTTTAAAATAATTTTCAAATATTTAAAGCTTTATAGGGCGACAGAAGTAAGCGTCATGATCCACAGAGGTTGGGCTCGAATCAAAGATACACCCTGAATATGACGAACCTTGCTTCAAGGTTCATCCCCTCATTCACCTGACCATTCGTAACTATTCGTGTCATTCCGGCAAGCCGGATGGCGTCTCGTACCCCTCTCGTGGCCATGTTTACGACTGGGCTCTGACTAAGCGCAAACGGGCATGGAGATGAAAATAGTCTAGTACTATTACCAAGGAAAGATAACTCTGAATATCCAAACATAGCTTATAGAATATCCTATATCCCGTGGGCAAAACAGCAATACAGTCATTCCCTTTGTAAATATGTTTCAGTGTTTAAAGTTGCTGATCCTTTAGGTCAAAGTTTATGTTTAAATTGTGCTTTGCATAGTTTAGCGATGTTTCAAAGTTCAACGGTGCCGCCATTTTCATGCTTCCATGATTGGTTTGCCACGATTTTTGGCAATAAAAAATCTTGTAGGTCACGGAAAGGGGCGGGTAGTTACAAATGTCACCTGACACGCAGTGAGACGATAGTGAGTGGGTGAGGATGGTTTTACGCTGCTCTTAGCAACGTTCAAGCAATGTCACGGCGGGGGGACCCCTGAAATAGGCCTGACAAATTGTATCCATGTGGGGAATCGAACCCAGTTCTTCGTTTGACGAGAGAACTCTTGAACCACTAGGCTACCCAACTGCCCTTATTACTGAAATACGTCCCTCAGAGGTGTTAACTAACTCACTCACTCTTTGAGTGAGCATGGTTGTTTTCAAGGGTTGGGACCGCCGCCATATAGATGGAATATTGCTGAGTGCGGTGTTTAACAAAAAAAAACAACCAATCAACTGAAGAGTTTGAACTAGAATTAAAACGATGTCTTTCAGTGGCATTTAGAAGTTGTACATTGATGTCCAAGATATTTTTATGGATTAAACTTCTTTTTTAATTTCTCTCACAAGTTCACCTGATGAAGGGACCTGGAATGGTCTCGAAACGTTGTGAGAGAAATTAAAAAAGAAGTTTAATCCATAAAAATATCTTGGACATAGAATTAAAACGGTCATAATTCTGATTTACCTTTTGCATACGATCCAGTGTTGTAGGTTTTCTTTCCAAAATAACCCATTCCTATCCAGATTTACCGAATAATAGAATGTGTTTGCAGTAAGACCAATTAGGAAGTTTTTATGCTTACGTAACCGTGTGTCTGATATACGTTTATACTGAAATACTCTTTTTTAAAAAGGAACATCGAATTACTCGTTAGTTTGTCATTGATCAGCATCAGGATCCTGGCATCCTCAAGAGAGGCAACTCTGTATCACGATTTCCTTGAACATGTGGGCAGCCATGTCCCCACATGCACTTCATATTCCAGTCCCGTGAAGATCCGGGGTAGAATTGATCTTCAGTAACCCATGCTTGTCGTAAGAGGCGACTAACGGGGTCGGGTGGTCACTCTCGCTGACTCGGTTGACACATGTCGTGTCGCAGTTGCGTAGATCGATGCTCATGCTGTTGATCACTGGATTGTCTGGTCCCGACTAGATTATTTACAGACTCGCGCCATATCGCTGGAATATTGCTGAATGCGGCGTTGAACAACAAAGAAACCAAACTTTCTATTTCATGTTGAAACACATGAACATCAGCGAAGGACCAGAATGTTTAAAGCGGCTTAACCCCACCTCACTCACTGGACTGCACATGACCCTTTTCCGATAAGTCGTCGTACGAGAGGTGTATGTGCAAAAGGTACTATGTTTTATCTCAAAATTATTACCCAACTGTTTTTTATCATTTGGAAATAAAACAAGCTACTTCGTCAGGCAAGAAGATGAAAGATGTTCACCCTTTTTCATCCGTGTTCGCGACGCTCTGCCGAATAATGATAAAGTGGCTATTTTCTTGCTTACAGTTGCATCAACACCCAATTACGTTATACACACAACTTTCGCTAGCTTCAAAGCAAAAATAAACAAAATGAGATCTCAATATAGTTGCAAGCAACGACGAGGTCTCCTTGGCTTTAGTTCTATCTTTTGCATCCGAGGGCTAGAAATCATCGTTCAAAACGGAGCCAGAACACGTTTTTGACAGGCGAGCGGATCTTCCAAATACAGCCCCCGGAAAATATCAGAAGTTCCGGAGAAGAAATAGTTCCCTCTTTAAAAGGTTGTATCTCAGTTGTTCTTGGGTCTACGGTCAAAACAATTAGTGTTCTGGGATCAAAAGCCTTCACCATACTTTTTCTGTGCAGAATTTGCACATTTTGGGAACAAACTATTAAGAAAACTGCTGAACACAAAAATAACTGCCAAACAGTACGTTTTAGCGACTTGACCCATCCAGGCAAAATTGTTGGGAATTCGATTGTGCATCTGTAAAAGAGATTTGGAAGTGTTGGAAGAATTAGTTCTTGAGATATTTGCTGTCAAACTTTGAAAGTTTGGAATTAATTTTGAATTATCTCCCCTTTGCTATTGGGCCTAGAGCCTAGAGCTTTTTAAGGGGAATATCTTCACCTCGGTGCGCATCTGGTGTGATTTTTTGTAAACGCTTCGGAGCATAATTGGTTTAGGAGTTATGTTTGGTACAAAATCGGCGGAATAATAATAAATAATAATAATATCAAAAATTGTTGGGAATTCGATTGTGCATCTGTACAAGAGATTTGGAAGTGTTGGAACAATGAGTTCTTGAGATATTTGCTGTCAAACTTTGAAATTTTGGAATAAATTTTGAATTATCTCCCTTTGCTATTGGGCCTAGAGCCTAGAGATTTTTACCTCGGTATCTTCACCTCGTGATTTTTTTTTGTAAACGATTCGGGAGCATAATTGGTTTAGGAGTTATGTTTGGTACAAAAATCGGCGGAATAATAATAAGTAATAATAATATAATAATAAGCTCTTCTGACACTCTTGGTAATAACTAGGCTGCATAGTTGGCATCAGGAGGCAACTTGGTGGGTTCCTAATAAAGTCTTTTTTGCTCTTGGGACCAAATGAATTGAAGAATGTGCCCGAAAAATAATAGGTTTCCTCTTAGAGGCTTTAAGTACACATGTTTCCTTATTTGGTACACTTGTGACGTGTAACCATGAATATTGATGCAGTATGTCGTAAAATGTATGTTTCTGGGTAAACGGCGCGGCTATTTTTGTCTATGACGGGCTTTATATAACGGAATATGGACCAGACAATGGTGACAGTGACTGATATTGGTACGTGGTACGTTTTGTAAGAGAGTTTAGTTTCACGCCGATTTTAGAAACACTCCTGCAATTTCACGGCGGGGACACCAGAAATGGGTTTCACACATTGTACCCATGAGGGTAATCGAAGCAGGGTCTTCAGCGTGACGAGCAAACCGAAACATGAGTCTCATTAACCAATTCAGACAATGACCTACTTTTCAGCCGATCCGAATTTTCTCGTGTGAAAGTGGAAAGAGGCACTACAAACAACTATGGTTACACTTAATTCCAATTCCTTGTTTCATAAGAAAATGGTATTTACAAAGGAATTTTAATTTTCAACTTTATAAAAATCGTATTTCTATATTTTATGGCGAGGTTTAGGCAGCATGACCTAAACTAAGACGTCACAGACTGTCCCTGTTTCATGAGGTCGTAAAATGATTCACAATTCATCTGGCTAACTGGTTGCACCTGTTATGTGTTCTTTGCGCTTATTCGGTGTATTTTTGTAACGTACAATGTGTACGTACAAGGAGCGTAGTGTTGCAATATACAAGTGATTAGATGTATCAACTCATTCTGATGGTCCAGTTACAGAATGTTCAGCTTGACCTGAGCTACTCTACATATGCATGACCCGGGAGGTCTAATGGCACAAACGGCAGGTCGAGTTAACTTCATTAAATAGGGGAGCAGAGAATGTTATTAATGTTGCGTTCGTGTGAAACATGCACACGTGGATTCGTTATAGCGCGATTCGGAAACATTAAACCATCTGTAGCTTCTTTTTAAAAGAAAGTTAGGACATTGCTGACGATTTTTCGACACAGAGATGTCAAACGGCGACCCTGTCTCGGCTGTTCGACCATGTTGACAGTCAACTGACAAAGGTGCACCCCTTCACAATAATAGACCAAACCAGTTGTGACACGGTCACGCAATGCATTAGTATTCACTTGATCAGGTCAAGCTGAACAAGCTGTAAATGAGTTGGTCTCAAAATTCTGGACTGGTTATTGTACTAAGTTGCGCAACAGGACGGAACCCAGTCAGCAGGAAACGAGACTGTTGTGTCCTCAATGTTTTGACTTGGAACGCTGTGACCACTGGGCTACCCTACCGCCCTAGTGGCACGTTGACACGCCACCGGTCATGTCACCGAACTTGACAACGTGATCCCTTGCGTCGTCTCCTAAAACCAGCTAAGGTTGCTGGGAACCTTAGCAATATTACAGCAACATCACGGCTAGTGACACCAGAAATGGGTTTCACACATTGCACGCATGTGGGGAATCGAGCCCGGGTCCTTGGCGTGACGAGCGAAAGCTTTAACCACTAGGATACCCCACCGCCCTGTATGCCTTCACAAAACGACTATACACAAAAAACGTAGTCCTTCAAAAAATCAACATGTGTCCAAATAGCGGTTCTCGCCACCGGATCAGTCTACTCTATGCCACGGTCATTTATATGGTACTCTGCAACCAGGATGTCGGACCATAACCCTACCATAGTCAGCAAGCTGAAATACGAGTGCTGTTGTAACAAAAAACTAGGCTAAAATTAGCCTAAATCCTTTATAATTTTGTGGATTCTTGGTCAAAACGTTCAGGGCGATAGGTCGAAAAATGCATAATATTCTAACAACAAACTTTCAAATAAAACAGGGTGTATTTTGTTTTCCTTCATCAAAATTCGTTAGGATTTAAAGATATTGTGTTCAACGGGTTTGATTATACTATAT